CCCGCTAACAGTTAAAAGAGCGAAAAAGCGCTGATATGGCAACACTGAAACCATCGCTCCCCAGGGACGTCATTGCGTTTATTTTGTTCGCTTACGTTACTTCCCTCAAGGATGTTGGTTTACAGTATATCACTCTCTTCTCATTAGTATTATTCCATTAGTATTGATTACCGTCTCGTGTATTGATTGGTCGACGTCCATATCGCATTTCACATTTTGATACGGATTTTATCATTATATATTCAATCATATTAAAGGTCACAATTCCTCCCCTTTAATAGAATAAAATTATGGAACGCTCGAGCAGCTTAATAAAAGGAATGTATCATAGATTTAATGGAATGGAGAAAAGACACGCTTGAAATTCGATTAGAATATGAAGACGTGGCAACTCAATCAGAGATACGATTTCTGATATGCATCTATCTGTCTATCCTTTTATATAAACAGATTGCCTCCCTCGTGTAATATCTGTCATTGGAGTTTGATGACGATATAATATCAGTCATGTGGATATTACACCGTCTGACAGCATGCACTTACATGAATACGCACACGCACACACACACACACACACACACACACACACACGGAGATACATACAATGTTAATGATTAGACCGCGGGTACACACGCTCACGTATACAGGTACGTCAACATTCCTCACATAAAGACAGAGGATCCTGGAAAGACTAAGAAGGACATGCATACAGACACACACACACACGCACACACACACACACACAACACCTACGTACATAACACACACATACATATGTAGGTAAAAAAAGGTAGATAGATTTTTAAGAAAATAGACAGTTAAATGGATTAATAGATCAATGGACAGAGGAAAAGTATGTATCTCAAAACAATAAAAAAGAGAGAGAAAAAAACAGTGAAAGTTGAGCTGATGGCACTGCTTACTGGGGGTGGGGGGTGGGGGGAGGATGACTTTCCAAAATATCATAATAAGCCTTTTTCACTTTCAACTAATACGGTCTTCTCACGAAACGTAGCCTACGTTCCATTAGATACACCAATGTTCACGTGAATCTACACGTACACACACACACACACGTAATATCAGACACTCACACACACACACTACTTATTCATAGGCATACCTACATGCACAAACAATTACACAAACACAAGTACACAAGCAAATCAATACACGAGCGAGCACTGAAGCATCAATATAAGCACTCCGAACCCTCGCCCTTTAATATATATATATATATATATATATATATATATATATATATATATATATATATATATATATATATGTATACAGAAACACACATATACCTACACCACATACATACGAACACACATATGAATTGGCACATACACAAATGCATCATCTACACAAACACACATGTACTGATTGACAGAAACACACACACACACACAGACACGCACACATAAATACACCACAAACGCACACACACACATATCTAACGACAAAACGTAATAGTTCTAGAGATGCATCTACATTAACTCGTCTTAAATAAGAACCAAGGAAACGTACAAGCAGGCCGGTAAGCTAATGGAGGAGTTATCCCTCTTCGCGGGGTTTCTAGCGCTTTCCTTGGACACTGCACATGTTAGTTACTATGACAATTAAATACTTGTTCTTCAATACACCTCTCTATTACAGTAGTTAATTACTTATTCTTCCACTATACCTGTCTATATCGCAACACCTGAATAACTTTTTTTTTTTTTTTACTGTATTTATTTATTTCGCTCACAACTTTAATATCCCTTCTACTCTAATATCTACAACTCGGTCAACTGATTAACAAAGTGGTTGCAGGAGCAACAAAAGCTTATCTACACAAAATAGTAGCTTAAAAAAGTAATAGTAAATTAATGGTTATCAATCATTATGGTACACTCTCGCAGTGTAAACAACATCTGTGGTAACAATATTGTCCCACACTGGATGAAGCAGACTGCCTTCCTGTCGGAGTCCTCCTGAGTCATCATCACAGCAAGCAGCTGCTTCGTACGCCTTCCACTCCCGAGCCTAGTTGACCCAAGGTGAAAGCCTTCCAGGGGACTTACATCTCCTCCTCGGCCGGATGAATCTGGCGCTCCAGCGGGCGGAAGCAAGCACCTTCCCTCGAGGGAAGGAGGCGTCGAGTCAGACAAAAGAGACTGCAGACAGACGGAGCCACCCTGGGTCTACCTTCACTGCCACCTCGCCCTCGATCCTGGGAGGACGGCGGTCTCTTCGGGGTTTCACGTCTACTTCTAGACAATCTCTTGTCTCATTGACTGAGGTCTTCCCTTCACATCAGGTGGCGCGCGATCCTCACAACCTTTTTCTCCTTAATAACTGATGGTAACTGTGCTCACAACTTCTTTCTCGTTAATGTGTGTGTGTGTGTGTGTGTGTGTGTGTGTGTGTGTGTGTGTGTGTGTGTGTGTGTGTGTGTGTGTGTGTGTGTGTGTGTGTGTACATATACACACACATGAGGGGGCTTCAGATAGTTCGTGGAAAAAGTCTTTAACTAAAAATCATATGGAATCATTTTGATTTCAATGCACCTGGACATTTTTGTACGAGCGTGCTATAACGTCTTCAAATGTGAATACATTGCTGCCAGTTGGAAGTCAAGCACCATTCAATCAACATGGAATCCACCAAGGCCAGGACAAACATTAAATTCATGGTGAAATTCGCTTGGGAGAATGGGCTAATCATTGACGCTCTTTAACAAGTGTATGGTAAGAAAACCCCAAAGAATTCAACAACCTACAAATGGATAAGTCGGTTTAGAAGTGGAAGAAATGATATGAGGTGAGCCCCACAGTGAGGAAAGTTTGTGAGGAAAATATTAATGTTCTTCGTGACATGATTGAAAAGGATAGCCAAATGACCACTGAATCAGTAGCAGACACACTCAACATCTCTGCGGGTTCTGCACTCACAATTCTGGTGGAGAGTTTGGGGCTAAGCAAGTTTTCCGCTCAATGGGCCCCTAGGCTGTTGCGCCCAGATCATCAGTAGACAAGGGTATATCATTTAATGGAAATTTTGAACAAGTGGGATGAGGATTTCTGCAGATAATTGTGACAAGGGATGAGACGGGGACCAATCACAGCAAAATCTGAGTGTTCAAGAGGAAAAGTCATGGCTACTGTCTTCTGGGATGCAGAAGGGATTTTGCTGGTTGACTTCCTTCGACAATTACATCTGCTTAATATAAATGCTTTTGAGAAAACTGTCAAAAAAAAGAAAAAAAATCTCAGAAAAACGCCCAAGAAAGTAGCATCAATGCATTCTCTTCCACCATGACAATACACCCGTTCATGGCGCCCGGCAGACAAGAGCTGAGCTACGTGAATTTCGATGGGAAATCGCCCGACATCTACCTTGCAGCCCCGATTTAGCCCCATCCGACTTCTTTTTGTTTCCAAACTTAAAAAAAAAAATCATTGAAGGGTACCAATTTTCCATCGGCTGAAGATGTAAAAAGAACTGCCCTGACATGGTTCAGATGACATGACCCTCAATTTTACTCGGATTTAAAAGTTGGTATCAATGTTTGCAGAGCTGTATTGACCTTAATGGAGCATATGTTGAAAAATAAACATCATGACTGAATTCGTTTTTCCTACTGTCCTTTTTTCAACTTTTTGAAAGTTGTGTTTCGGACGTTATGTTTCTATAACCGAGGTATCTGTGGCACATACTTAACAGAGGAAAAACTTCAAGCAACCCCATGAACTTTATTAAGGTCAGTAAGTAATGCTACTAACATTTTAAAATTCGGTTAGAACCCAAAAGCCTTGGTGGTTGTGGCATTATTTGTACCAGAACTGATCTCGACAAATGGGCAACAGTAAGAATATATTTTTAGTTTGCATTAGAAAAAAATAACCTGACATTGGTGACAGAGTTTAAAATTTTTACTCGACATTGGCAACAGTGTTACTGAAAATTCTAAATGAGACTTTAGTTAGCAGCAGTTTAGGCTTGTTTTTGGGCAACTGAAAATGTTTTTTTTTGGTCGCATGAGTAATATTGGTAAAGAGTCTTATGTTATAAAAAGAGCTATTTATCGGCATGGCGTACATGGTTCAAGAGGTGCTGGTTACTGTGCTGAGACGGGGAAGTAAGAAATGCAGAGGCATGAGCATGAACAATGAGCAAAGCAGGTGAGGAAGACTTGCTTTTGGGGAGTAACCAGAAAGAGCGGTCGAAGGGCATGTTCAGACAGTTAACACATGAGCCGAGACAGAATCCAAGAGTTAACGATATAATCTACCAAGAATGGGTAAGCTGACTAGGAAAAAAAAAATATCAATGGCGCAGTCAACGGCTTGCATAAGACATCTTACAGTGAGGGAAGCAAGGAAGCAGCCCTCATACACCACTGCCTGGCCCTAAGGTTATCGGTTTCGGGCGAATGTCGAAAGAGATAGTGATGTGGTTGCAAATGTGATTTAGTAAGTGGAAAATAGTTGGTTGAAAAATGTGGTTATGGTAAAATAGATGGTGTAGAAAGTAGCTGCAAGATTCTACAGACTTTATTTTTCTTTTCTGAAAGTGTATCATAAGTGTTGTCATAAGTACCTTAAAGCCCAGGATGAGGTCTTTTGGCCAAACAGTATTTCTACTGCCGTATTTAGTCCGTTGAGACTAGCAAAAATGTTGCACATTATCAAGATTTAAATATTAATTCCATTCGAGTGTGTTATTTTACTCAATTTTACAAGAATAATTATGTACAATGGACTGAGGAGTATTTTTGACAACATAACAATGCAATTAAACAAGTATTTGTCAGTTAAACTCAAAGACAATATTAACATAAAGACAATAATATAGTATTCATAGTATGAAAAAGAAATAAAAGCAAACCAGAAATTCGTGACAAGGCGATTTTCGGGGGAGCCTATGATATTACTCCATTATCTCCCTCCTAGTGACAAGGATGGTGTAACGATACAGATTTCTTGGGTTGAACATACAAAGGCGAGGTAGTTAGGTACATCTAGCAAATAAGCAAGTTTAACATGATCGATGGCGATTGTGTCAGATGTCCCATTGCGGTTGATGGTAACTCTCCCTTGTGCGCCTAAGAACTTCGTATGGACCTCCATATGGCGGCTGTAGTGGACGTCGGACGGAATCTACTCGGACGAACACATGGGTACAGTCATGGGGATCCTGGTTTACGAAAGACTTGCTTAAAAACGGCTGCCGTGTCTGAACAGGTCGAAGCTTGGACATCACATCCCTGAGTTTGGCTGCATAGTCCTGAGTAATGGAGCCAGTGGAGTAATTTACCAGGTAGGCAGACTGATGTTGCATATTGCAGAAGTGAAGCCAAAGCCTAATTTGAGAGAGCTGCTGATGCCTAAAAGAACAAGAGGGAAAAAAGTAGTCCAGTCATCATGTTGATGAACCATGAGTGATGACTTCAGCTGATGATGAAAGTGTTCGACGACACCGTTTGTCTGAGGATGGTAACTTGATATGTGGTAACGTCAAATTCCAAGCAAAGTCATAAGTTTGCTCTAAAGTTGC